CTCCCAGAGCCAGCCCCAGCGGGTCCTGGGGAGCCAGGGCCAGGCTGCTCCTGGGCTGGCGTCCGGGGATGCTCCGGAGGAGCCGAATGCCGACCGCGCCTGGGGCCCTGAGGATCGTTTGGGGCGCCTCAAAGGGGATCCCCGAAGATCCGAGGGACCCTGCTCCACCCCTCCGGGGACGGGATACTGTCATCAGAGGTCGCCTGTGCCAGGGTAGCCGAGTCCTCGCCGCCCCAGGGGCCAGGGAAGGGTCCAAGGACGGTAGGTTCACGGTGGCGGGGACGCTCTGAGGTGGCTGTCCCCTGGGGAACTGTGAGGAGCCCGCGGAGCCCCAACCCAGATGGGGCAAGGGGAATGATCTTGGCTTGCAGGGTCCCAGAGCAGGACCGCCCGGGCGGCGGTATTAACTACCCTTCCTGGTTGGCAGATGCAGGGGAGGTGCAGGCTAGTTTCTGAGCGTTGCCTGGAGGAATGTCCTTCCCTTCGCATTGGGGGCGGGACTGGGGGTGATGCGGGCTCTGCCGGTCTTGGGAGCTCCCAGGTCCCGGAGGTTCCAATGCTCCTTCCCATTGCAGGCGGACCCGTGGGGCACGGAGCCGAGCGCATCCTGGCGGTGCCCGTACGCACTGACGCCCAGGGCCGCTTGGTGTCTCGCGTGGTGTCGGTGACGACCGCCCAGGCCGGGGTTCGGGCCCGCAGGGCTGCCCCCGCCCAGACCCTGGGCTTCCCTGGAGGCAGTGAGGAGGACCCTGACCGCCGCCTATTCTACAACATCACTGTCTTCAGCCGAGACCTGCACCTGCGGTTGCAGCCCAACTCTCGCCTTGTGGCGCCCGGGGCCACAGTGGAGTGGCAGGGTGAGTCGGGCACCACTCGCGTGGAGCCCCTGCTTGGAACCTCCCTCTACATTGGAGACGTGGCCGGCGTGAGTGAAGCCTCCTCCGTGGCGCTCAGCACCTGCGATGGGCTGGTGAGTAGGCACTTCTCCACCCCTTTCTGTCCATGGCTCTTGCCTGAGCTTCAGAAGCCTGTTACCTGGGTGTCCCCTGGGAGGGCAGGGCCTGCATTGAGGACCTTCTCTGCTTAGGGACCACAGGGCATACACTGAGGGGGTGGCTGGATTGAAGGGGTTGGCTGGAAGGCAAGTTATTTTGATTGACGGTTGAGGGGTGATTTATGCAGGAGAAGGCCCAGGGTCTCCAAAGGGCTGGTCAAGTAGCCATGTGTCTCCTTTAGGCCTGCAGGCACAGGTGTGTATATGTCTGTGAGTGTGTGCACATGTGTTTGGAATGTTGATGTGTACACGTGTCTGGACACCTGTGTGAACACATGAATGTGCCTTTGTGTGTCTTGTGCACATGTGTATCTGTAGGTTTCTGCTCATTTGTGTGTCAGTTGAGTGTGTGCCCTGTGCATTTTAGTATGTGTCATATGTGTGGAGGGCACAGGTACTGGCAGTCAGTCTCCTTGTCTCTGTGTATGCAGGTGGTCCCAGCCCAGGGGGCAGGCAGTGATGCTGAAATGCCCAGTTATCCTCTGCCCCCTGGCTGACTGGCACCCACTGATTTTTATGCTGTGGGTTCCTGTGAACTTAAGCTGGCTATTTGAAAAATGTTTTCTCTCTCTATTAGAACCAAGGGGAACATTGGGAAATGCAGGCTCTGGTGCCCATGGGCAGCCCCTGAAGGACAGGAGAGAGGCTGGGGGAGGTCCCCTCCTGAGGCTGCCTGGGGGTTCCTGGAGCCCTGGAAAGTTCTCCTATTTTGGGGGGCCCAGAGGGACCATGGCTTGACATAAGAGCCTTGGAGGAAGCCTGGATCAATGCTCAGGGAGGAGGCTGACATTGGCAGTGTTCTGTCCCGCCACCCAGGGACCTGGCACACAGCAGAAGCCACTGCAGTTTTCTATTTTGGATAGGATGTGTGGTGGTCAGGCTGGCTGTGCTAGCAAGTCATCTAGACCGCCCACCAAGGGTTCTGCTCTAATTGCAGCTCAGAAGACTCCTGCTCCCAGGGAGTGGCCGCTCTCCCAGCCCTGCAGCCCCTGTCCTCAGGTTCATCCTGTTAGCTACAGAGCCAGCAATTACTCCAGAGCCCCACAACCGCTGGTATTCTTTTTATGGAGACACAGGAAATGTCACTTGTTGCTTCAGAAAATCACTGCCTTTGGTTAGAACCTGGGCGTATTGCAGACAACTGTCAATGTCCTTGGAGGAGTTGGGTTAACATGGTGCAGCCCTCTATGTCCAGATGTCTCTGAGGATGTCCTGGGGCTCACGGGTGTGCCTCATTTTACTCTAGAGGTGAATCACCTAAATTAGAGGAAATAGGTCCTGGGGACTTCAGGATGGGGTGGGTGGGCTGGGAAGAGTGACATGGATGCATTTGTTGGTGGACCAACTTCTGTGTACTGGTTAATTCCCAATGGAAAGCATTTTAGGGATACTTTTTCATTGTATCATTCATTCATCTGGTCAGTGATTCATTTGTTTAACCAGCACCTCTAGTGCTCTAGTGTGTTTTTCCATTGTGCTGGTCAGAAATAGGTCTGGCCTGGTGTCCCTCTGGGTCTCACACACTCAGGGCAGTTGATAGGCTGAGGAGCACTCTTGCTGGGGCCTGAAAACATACTCCTGGAGGCTACTTGAAGAATGCTTTGTTGGTAGGCAGCCACACAGGTTGGCAATCCTAGCAGAGAGAAGAGGTACCAGGTGTGCCTTGGCCCAATCAGGATAGGCAGATATCCTGGACATGCTTGCAGGGCTGAAACGAAGACTGAAGTTGGAAGAGGGGCTGGGACCTCCCAGAATGGCCTTGAATGCTGTCAGTGAAATGGCCTGGAGATAGTGGGGCAGCATCATGACTTCTTTTCTTTTTCTTTCTCTTTGCTGTGTGCAACTGTTCTGATTTTATACCAATTAATTTCTTAACCTTTAAAGTCTCTCTGTGCATCAATGATAGGCTCATATGCTAAGGGCTTCATGCATCATGTGTCTGGTCCTCAACAGTGACCCTGCAGGAGAAGGGTCTTCATGCCTGGTTTACAGCTGGGCAGCTGAGGCTCAGCCCTTGATGGCAGGAGTCTGGCTTGGTTTTCTCCAGCTCTTCTTCCATGGTGCTCCCAAGTCTGGTGGGTGAAAGACACTGATATATGATCCAAGGTGTACTTCCTGTGCACGATCCTCAGTAGGTCTTCTACGGCTAAGTGCACAGCATCCTCCCAGCAGCCCTGGCTCTAAACCAACATGCCTCATGTAGCCCCTTCCTGGGCAGCTCTTGCTCTTCCTTCATTGGTAGTGAAACATGCTCAAGCAAGTGTGGTGCAGATCACACTTGTTAAAATACAGATTCTGATTCAGCACCCATGCACCCTCCCTACCTTCCTTCTTTTTCCCCACCTCCCAGGTTCTGAGCTTCTCATGAGCTCCCTGGTTGATGCTCCTTGGCCTCAGACTACACTTTCAGAAGCAAGGCTCTACAGCCCAAATTCTGCAAGAGAGCTCTGTGGGTTTACACCTTAAGTTGCTCTGAGCAAATAGGGTTCATTGGACCACCAGTGTGGGAAATACTGGGCCTTGCATTCACCTGGGAGATTCAAGGGGCCCATGGGACTCTTGGAGAATTTCTGTAATAAAGAAACATTTTGAACTCTGTGAATCCAGCACTTTCACACAGATGGAACCAGGGAACCCTGCTCTGCAGAACATGTGGAACTAGCTTTCCTAGAAGACATGGAAAAACCATGGAGCAGGGCTCAGCAAGCAGCTGTGGTCTCACAGTTTAAGTTTAGATACTTAGGGGAGCCACAGAACTTTTTAGGCCTTTTGTCCTTCCCCTGGATTGGACACACATCTACTTGCCTGTTCCCCTGAGTTTGTTTCTCTACTTTAAAAGAAGGCAGTAATACCTTTGTTTACCACAGACAGCAGTCTCCTAATTTATTTAGTACAAATGGATTCTTATGTCACTGTATATGTCAGGCTCCTCTTAGTTACAAGTGACAGAAAACTCAAGTCAGATTAGTTTAAACAGAAATGGGAAGTTATTAGCTCACATAATGGTAAGCCTTCAGGCATGACTGGATCCAGGTGCTCCCACCAGGTTATGAAGACACTTGCTGTCTCTTGCCTCAACACCCATGGCTAGTGTCTGATATGATCTCCATTCTACAGATGAATAAGCTAAGGCTCCAAAGCCAAGACAGCTTGCTGTATTTGTTGGCTTTGTTCTCAGATGGAATCCTCTGTGGCAAGTCAAGGGGCTTCAGCAGTGCCAGACTGACATCATTTTCTGATTATTCCAGCTGAGTCCTGAAATGTCACTCTGGCCAACCTGGCATCAGATGCTCCAATGAGAATCAGGACATGGGGTTTGCAGAACCCCATAGATGGAGAATGTAAGAGGTATTGCTCCCCCAAATGATATGAGGTTGGGACCCTGGGCCTGCCAATATGCAAATTTTATTGGAGTCAGGTAGAGATGGAGACTCAAGAAATGCCAGATGGCCTAGTCAGTGTGGCTCAGTGGTTATGCGTCGACCCAGAACCAGGAGGTCACGATTTGTTCCTGGTCAGGGCACATGCCTTGGTTGCAGGCTTGATTCCCAGTAGGAGGCAGCCTATCAGTAATTTACTTTCATCATTGATGTTTCTATATCTCTCTGAAATCAATAAAAACATTTATTTTAAAGAGAAATGCCAGATGAAGACTTGCTTCATAAGACATTGAGCCCTTTATTTTCAGAGAGGCTGAGAAATGGAAAGTGCCCAGGTTCTTTCATAGCCACTGTACAGATGTTGTTCATAATATTTACAGGAAAAGGTTAAAGTTTGCCTTTTCATGATGCCTGAGGAAATACTGCTTAACACAGGGTTCCTGTACATCATGTTGCTATGGAAGACTTTTCTGGCACTTCTTGGGCCACAGGACAGGTGTGCTGATCTCACATCATCCTAATATGCTCATTAAATACCCAATGAGAAGGCTGTTGGCATAAAAAGTAATAATAGTATATCACAGGTCACATGCCCCAACTCTGCACCATGCTCCCAGCTGAGCACCGTATGCAGTTTAATCCTCAGCACCCATGGCTAGTGTCTGATATGATCTCCATTCTACAGATGAACAAGCTAAGGCTCCAAAGCCAAGACAGCTTGCTTCAAGCTTTGCAGCCACTATTTGTATGCTTGTCTGTCTGACTCCAAGATCATGTTCACCACATTTTATTACCTTTGTTTGCAGACCAACAAAAAGGATAAAAATGAGAGATGCATTTCTTTGAAACATTCCTACCCTTCTTCTTTGACTCCTGGAGGTCTTCTGAGTCAGGGGTGTTGACCATTGTCAGTGAGTGAGTGGGAGCTGGGAGCAGGCCTAGTGGACAAGTGGCCTACTGATAAGCTACTGACCTGCTCTGCACTCCCTTCAGGCAGCCTGAGTTTTCATGGCTCAGTAATGGCAGTGGGAACACCAGTAGAATAGAAGCACCCTGCCCTCCCTCTGTCCCCTGTCAGTGCAGCTCTGCGGACCACTCCAGCCTGGCATCTCTGACCAGTCAGGGCCAGTGATGGAAACCTCCAAGGGTTGAGTAGTGGGAAGTATATAACCTCTGAAACCTTTTCCCATTCTGGAGCCTGAGGAGGGCAGTGTACACCCCCTGTGATTCTGTGATGCAGTGTCCCCTTGTATAGCTGAGATTCAGAGAGGCTGCTGCCTTGTGGGCTGGGACTATCCTGCTGGGCTGCCATCCTTGCCAGGCACCCTCTCTGTTTAGTCTTGCTGGACATTAATAGTCACTAAGGCTACAGAGAGAAGTCATTCGCTGGCCTAAGAGACCAAGATGAGTTTTATTTTTCATAACAAGGCTGCTGCCTTTGTGATCACATACTCAGCTCCAGCTGGCTCAGATGCTAGAGTGGGGTTGACAGGTGTGGCAGGCTTAGGCTGTGGGGCTGGGGATGCATAGTGTCTG